TGAACACCTTCCCCCAGCCCAGGTTGCTCAAATCTCCATCCAACCTGGCAGAAGGTCTGTATGTGATGTTTATTTTGCACACATATATATAGATTTGAAGACCAAAATAGAAAACCAGTTTACAAGTCAGCGTTTGGAAGTATGCAGCTGAACGGTTTGTCAGGCGGTGGTTAGTCTGGTGATACTGTTCATCTGAACACCTATTTCAGGTCTCACCCGTCTGATGGGACCTCTTCCGAAGATGTTGGTGGTGGGGACATGTCGCATTGCGTGTTGCAGTGACAGGCAGACTGGGCAGGAGGAGGCAGTTCTGTCACGAGGTCTGCATCTCCCCAAACAAAGTAGGCTAAGTTCCCTGTCAGCATAGCTGTGACGGCACCAGGGGGGTTTGTAGTACTTTATTGGCATCTTGGGGGAAATATGTGTTCTTTGCAGCTTAAGCAGTCTAACTCCCTTTCACACAAATCTGAGGGAAGGTATAATGACCTTGCTTAATGTGGTCAAACAGCACTTGACAAGCCTCACTCTTGCTGCCTCTCACATGAAGGCTTAAATTATAACTACTGAAGTATTGCCTTTTAAGGCTGCTGAAGACAAATGTGTGTCCTTTAGACTCTCTAAGTGCACAGATATTTAATGCATCTGCATAAAATAAGCTAGTCAAACTAGTGATTGCTTTCCTCACCTTTTTTCCCCTTCAATCATTAATGGACATTTTCCACAAGAAAGTTAACAAAACACCTAAGACAACAATGAACTTTGGACGTGTTAGCTTGGCCCTTTCATTCCAGAGTCTCTCCTCCTACACAGATTGCATAAAGACTGCAAATGTACAAAAGGATGCTTCCCAATCTGGACCACAGGTTACAGGACAGTAGTTGATCAAATATTCGGAGTTGTTTTATGTTTTGAGGTTTTCTTCCATTGCAGATTATGTACCTTCTTTTTAAAAAAACACACATAAACCATCAAATAACTAAAAAAACAAAACAAAACAAAAAAACCCATATCTTCCCCCCTTTTACCCAGAGTGATAATTCATTTTGGGTCAGTTTTGAGGTGTTCAGCACACCAGCTGCATTACTTGCCAGGAAGGACCCCTTCCAGTAGGGCTGTATGAATACCCTCTAAATTTCTTCTCTGTGCCCTCACTCAAGAGCTGCTGCTGCTGCCCTGTCTGCAGCGTGGAGAACGTTTCTAGATCATCTGTGTGCTGATAGAGTTGCTAGTGACCTAGAACTACACATCCTGCTATCGTGGTTTACCAGGTAAGGTGGCTTTTTAACTAGGTGCTGCTCTCATCTCTGGTCATGCTATGTGAGTACCTTTATACTTTGTATTCTTAAACCCCAGAGGCTGAGGGAGGGAGGAGTTTATAGGCATTATTCAATGTTTTACTTCCTTTTCTATTTCAAAGTGAGGATTTAAGAATTCGTCTGGAGATGTGTGAGACAAAAGCATGGTTATGGAAGGTGTGGCTATGGCACTATTGTAATTCACTTACCTTTGAAGGCCCTGTAGGAAGGGTTTCTGAAGTGAAGATAGGAGAAGATTAATCAGTGATTTGAAATCTAAGCCAAATGGCAGTTGCCAAAATACTGTAGGCCAAGGGAACAGAAACCTAGGGTTGGAGGGAGCTGCGTTGCTTGTTATGAAACCAAGGACAAAGGAGACATGGAGGAGGGACTGTCTTCCAGCCTTTTGTCTCTGTGGCTTATTTTCACAGGTCTGCCTCTTGCCGGCAAACCTGTGTTCTCAAAATTATGGTATGCACTTGACTGGCATGTTCGTGTGAAAAGCAGAGTTAATTAAAAGTGGGGGACTTGTCATCAGGAGGGCATCCAAAGAAGTTAAAGCAAAGCAATTAGAATCAATGTGTGTTCATTTAAAGTGCATTTTTATTCTCAAGTGGGGTTTCTCATTCAGGTCCAAAGCTGCCTGTGATCTAAAGTCTGTTTGCATCTGACTAAGACCGCTACCTCTGCATAAAGATCCAGTGTATTTCAGTGTACTCTGTAACTGATATGTCTTAGTTCTTCTGAATGATCCTGTACAGGTAAACCATTATGAACTCCAAGCTTATTTTATGCAATAGTCTAATGACTACTTGAAAATACATGAATATTCTTCTTTACCTTTTTTTCTGATGCTCATAGCCAATTTTGCTAGAGTGAAATGTCTTATGTTTAAATTTAGTCCACACCATCGATTTTTAAGCTTCAATAGAATTCAAAAAAACAAAACGCTTTTATTGAGTGCTGTAATGGGAACTGGAGCTTTATATGCTCTTGTATGGGAAAAGGTTTTATCACACTTATTAGTTTTGTATTGAAGTGTAGGGAACAGCACATCTTGAATGGTTGTTTCAGAATTGCTGTTTTCCAGCCATCTCTTGTGTGGCTATGCAATGATTTCAGTTAGCCTTTCGATTTCAGCCTGCCTCCTGGAGCCCAAGAAACAATCAAAGCAAAGAGAGGCTGTTTACTATCTGGGCAGCTGTCTTCAGTCGTTTGTTTCTGCAAACCAGTGCACGTGTGCTCCCAAAATGCTGTTCTTTCCCAAAGAAATCTCTGCCAGTATCAAGTTAGCCTTGCTTTTCTTAATACTTAAAGCAGTATCTCTTGATGGACCTTAAGCCCACTCACCTCTTTTAGTTGTGTACTGTATATGCAGAACAACTCATTCCTTTCTCTTTGCAGTAACTTCTTATAGTTCTTGAAGAGTGTTATTGTGTTTCCCCTCTGCCTTCTTTCTAGGTTAAATGCCATTTATTTCAGTTTTCCTTCCTGGATCAATTTTCTAGAGCTCTGATAGTTTCTGTTCTGTCCTTTTATTTTTTTTTTTTTTTTTTTTTTTTTATTCTTCCTTCCTCCTTTTTTTTTTATTCTTTCTTCCTCCTTTTTTTTTTTTTTTTTTTTTTTATTTCTTCCCTTCCCTTTCAGTTGACTGTCCTTTTTGACATGAGATACCCAAAACTGAACCGTATCACAGCTGAGGCCTTCTCACCTCAGAGGTGTCTTAGAAGTGAGTCTTGAGTTTGTATCGTTCTTCTGTCAGTCCTTCCAGTGGCAAGTATTAATTCTGATATATACCTGAACACTGTGAGGGGGATCTGTGAGGTGGATCTAGGCACTTTAAAAGATACTTGAAGGTCATGAACCTTTGTAAATATTGCACAGAGGAGTAAATCTGGACTGCAGGTCTGAAAGGGGAGTTATGCCGTATCTGTAGGAACTACACCGGCTCTAAATATCTGGGATGGCTTCAGAATTCCAGCTCTAGGAATTTCACTCAACTGAGGGAATGTTTGCATTTCCAGCTGCATTTTGTGTGGGTACCTGAGCTGACCTTATTGGGTAGAGATAGCAGCAGCAGCGCTGTCATGCTGAATGCACAGCCAGGGCTCGAGCCTGATATTTGCCGAGTATTCAGTCAGCTCCTGCAGCAGATTTTGCAGTCTGGGGGGCGAGAGTTGCAGGTGGCTGAACTTGCGTGAGCTGACAGCCACCTGGTCTCCTATGTCTTGGCAGCGCTGTACGGGCCGGGCACACTGAGCCGGGCTCGGGCTCTGACGAGCCGGCTGCTCAAGGCAGCGGCCAGGCTGATCCCACAGTGAGCTCTCTCTTACCTGCTGCCTGCACCCCTGTTTGCAGTGCAAGTCTGCGGCCTCGGGGCAGCGGTGCGGGCGGGGAGCCAGCGCCCATCCCCGTCCCGCAGCGGTTGCGCTGGCTCGGGTACCCGGGCGGGTTCAAAGGGGCTGCGGTCCCGCTCCTGCCCCCGGGCCTCCAGCCTGGCCGCGGGAATCAAAGGAGCTGGGGATGGTGGCAGCGGGGTTTGCGGCGCTGGGGACGGGCAGGGGCAGCCGCCGGGGCACCGCGGTGAGAGCCGGAGCCCCGCTGCTGCGCGGAGCGGGGAGAGGGGGAGTAACGGGGGCGGCTCCAGGCCGGGGGCCACCCTCGACCGGTGCCCGGTGCCCGCCTCGCCCCGGAGAGAGCGGGGGCGGCCAGGCCGGGGTCCGCCCGCGGAGCCGGAGGAGGGCAAAGCGCCCGCGATGGAGGTGAGGCCGAATGGGGAGCGGCCGCCCCACGCCTGCCCCGAGGGGCGGGGGCCGGGCCGGGACAGCCCCCCCCTCCCCTCCCCTCCCCGCCCCGGGGCTGCGGGCGGAGGCGGTGGCGGCCCCCGGCGGCTCCTCCCCCCGCCCGAGTTACAACCGGTTCGTGCCGGTACCGGCCGCGGCCGCGCCCCGCCCCGCCGCGCCGGGGGATGCGGGGCTGCCCCCCGCTCGCCGGGGGCGGCTCCTGCCCCCCCGCCCGGCCGCCCCCCACCCCACGGGCCGCCCGCCGCTGCCGGCGCGGGGCGCAGGTAACGGGGACGGCGCCGGGCCGTGGGGGGCCGCGGGTGAGGGGGCCGCCGCCACGGCTCGGCTCTCGGGTGGGAGGCCTCGTGGGGCTGTCCCGGGCGGGGTGTGTGTGTGTGTGTGCGGCCGGGCCAGCCTGAGGGGGGAGTCTGTAGGGGTCTCCGCAGCGCTCGGGTGTCGGGGAAAGGAGCCGACCCGGGACCGGGGTGCTCGCTGGTGTGGCCGCATCCCTTGCGGTGCCCATCGACGTCCACCCCTCGGCGCTGGCGGCGGGTACCTCCCGGGGTACCTCGCGGGTGCCTGTCGTTGCCCGGTGGGCGCTCAGTGGTGTCGGTGGGCGCGGGGCAGCGGGCGCCCGTCGGCATCGGTGCGTGGCCGCCGCGGCACCCATCGGCGCCCGGCAAGGCCATGGCTGCGCGGGAGCGGCGCGTGGCACGACCCCGCCTCGCCGCGTGCGTGGCACAAGGGCGGCCCGCCGTGACCGCGGGGCGCTGCCGCGGGTGAGCCCCTTCCCGCCGAAAAGGGGTCTGGGCGGGCGGGAGGCGTCGAGGTGTGAGGTGGCCCTCGGGGGAGGGGGGGGGGGGGGGGCGTGGGCTGGCCCCCGAGGGCGTGGGGAGAGGCGAGGCGGGGGCTATAAGCGCCCACCCATCCCCACGGAGGGCCTGGCCGAGGGGGAGCGGAGGCGAGGGGGGCTCTCCCTCGCAGGTGGCGACGCGTGGGGCGGTGCGCGCCACGCGCTCGTTTCGCAGAGGAGCCCTCCTCCGGTAACGGCGGCTTACATCTGCCTGCGTGGATGCGTGCTAGTGCCTGACGGGCAGCTGTGCTCGCGGGGGGGTTTCCATCCCCTGTGAGGCAGCGAGGCTCTGGGAACAGGTAGGACTGGTTCTGCTGAGCTGACAGATTTGTACAAAGCTGCCTGGGTTATGTGCTGCCCTGGTTGATGCTTCTTTAGGTGAACTTATTTTGCACGATGGAAAAACATTATTATGTCGTCGGTAAGTTTCGTTCTGTTTTTTTTTTTTGTTTTTTTTTTTTGTTTTAAACTCCACGCTTCTTCCCTTGTTAGGCAGAAATGGAAGAAAAAAATGATGTTGATGAGCCTTGTCCATAAATAACAAAAGGGGAAGCAGAGGAGCATGAGAAATAGGTAGACCTGAATGCTGAGAACTGAGAGGGAAATAGATGCATTCAGTGTGAAAGAACTTAAATATTTAAACGTGGGGAGCTCCTGTAGTTAGAACATGAGTTAAAATCTGATGTCATCAAAGTACAGATGCATCTTTTTTCAGAGCGTTTAATACAATGCTTATGCTGTTGTGTCAGTACATATGCAGGTATTTGGATACAATGGATACGTTAAAAACAACTGTAATACATCACTGCCACTCTAATGCTCTAGGTGTTACTCACAAGCTAAGGGTAGCAGAAATTTCAGATGATAAATTCAAGAGCGTTGCCTGAAAAATAAATAGAAGTTTATGTGAAATCTAATTCAGCTTAAAATGAGGGATGTTACCGTTCTGGCTGGTACCGTCTTAATTTGTACCAGTGCCTTGCAAAACTGGAATAGCTGAGTGTTAATCACACAGTGATTCTGCTGACATTGGCTTTCTTTGCAGACATGTGCTGCTCGCAGAAAGCAGCATAACTTACGCAGACTCCGGTTGCACAAATAACAAGCTGGAAACAATCGTATTGCTACTGTCTTTCTCAAGATTCCCTTTGTCACAGATTAATATGAGTTTCTGTGCTGAGGGCTAACGTTTCAGTCGTATTCGTGTTCTTTAGACCAATTATTTTTTTGTGCTTCTCTGTCATCTTGAAGCCAAATTTTAAGATTTATAGAAAAAGAGCTCAATATTGTGATACAACTGCTTAGATAAAAGAAAGCAGTTGCAGCCAGACACCTTTCTCTTTCCATATTAAAGCTGTTGTTGCTCAGTTCATTCTCAAAGGTTTCTTTTTGTTGTTGTTGGTAAAGGCTTTCATCAAGCAGCTCTCTTCCTCTGATTCTTATTCGCAGTGAGTACAACTCACTGAAAAGCTTTTTCTGACCAAACTTCAAGTTACTGTTTAATTCTTCATGCTTCGTTTCTCCATTTCAGTATTTTTGATGTAACTAAGTTTCCTGCAGTCTGAAACAACATCCTTAGGTTTTGTGAACAGTAAGGTTTGTAAAATGGTTCCTACCTGAATCTTAACCCATGGTTGGTTTTCCGTTTCCAGGATCACACAAGTCTTCCTGATTGGTCCCAAGAGAAAACAAAACTATCAAGCGTTCTCTTCTTTGTGGGCTTCTGCTTCGTTATTTTTGATGATCGCGCTTATCTGTAGAGTCTGTGTCCTCCTTTTGCACAGATAGAAAATAGTAAAATGCACTTTGGACCCCTCCCGACCCCGCTGTGTTGATGCACAGATTCGATGCCCACGCAGGCAGTGCTGAGAGTAGCAAAGCTTTAGTTCCTGCTGTCAGTTCTTGTCTGCGTTACTAAGCTTTTATGTGACAAATTGTCATTTTCATTAAATTATTTAAGCATTAAATAATGTACCAATAAAACGTGTATTGATATCCGCGGTCCCAGCAGCAGCGTGGCTGACTGGGATGTCACAGCAGAAGGTTCTGGGGAATGGGCTCCTCACACAGGGCTCTTGGTGCACGTGCTCTCTTCAGGAGGACTTTGTGCCTTCAGGGAAGTTAGAGAATACACTTTATTTTAGGTAACGGGCACACAGCAGTGTGAGCCGAAGGAGCAACCTGTGAGAAAAGGAAGGAAAAGCCAGGGCATGCTGGCTCTTAAAGACAAGCTCTGGGACTTTGTATATCTGGTCTTGCTTTGAGGATAATTTCTGGAGGGGGAAAATGACAGTGGTTTTCACTTTTTGCTTGACAGTTGCAAATGGCTTGAAGTGTTTAGAAGACACAGATGGTTTTTGCTGCCTAAAATTCTGTTATTTAGCTAAAAGATGCCAAAGAGAACTGAAGTGCAAAATAAGAGGCATCGGGAGGTAGAGGGCCTGCTCTCTTTCTGCCATAAGTTGGGAGCAATTGGTTAAAGTCGATAAACCTGTGTAGACTTGCAGCAGATGAGGAATTGATCTGCAGTTTGGGTTTTTGTTAGTCTTTCTGTTAGCAAAGACTACGTGACCTAAGGCTATGAAAACTTTTTTTCTCTCTTGCCCTCTTCTCCGTTCCTCCCTATCAAGTGTTTAGAATAGTGGAACTGAACTCAGAGTTGTCTCTGTGCGAGATTTTAGGGCATCAATTGAGTGGAAATCAATACAACAGCTAAAATGTGTTTGTTTTCTAAAAATTACTTTTTAAGCAAATATGAGTTGGGATTATTCACTGTCTATTTCCATTATTTTAGTTGTTTTCTGAAAACTTCCTTGCTTTGTCTCAGTGGAAGTGTCTGTTCTTAAAGCTGTTATGTATTTCCACCATTTTTACTCCAGTCAGGGACAAAACAAGCCAAGTGATACTTGTTTAATGCACAGAGAGATGCATATGTCAGCTCATTTGGTGACTGCATACAAATAGTTTAAATATTTTGTGTAGAAATACAGAGATGTCATTTTGTATAAAGGTTATTGTTGTAGGAAAGTACCTATAAGCAGCTTTTTAATGTTTTGCTACCTTATGGTGTGATACAATTTCTGTTTATCCCAGCTGTCACCTTTGCATCTCATGTAATCACGGACACTTACCAGACATTAGAGGAAATAAATCAGAGGTTACATTTATAACCAAAACATATAAATTTACAACATTTGTAACTGCAAATATTGCATGTTGAAGGACTGTCAGTATGTTAAAACTGTAAATCACTCCTAAAGAACCTAGAATGTCTAAGTTCATTTTATGTTAGTAGACAATATTTTTGTTATTTTGGGGCTCAAGGCTGCTGTCAGCTGTTAATTAATTGAGCGGGGATCAGTATTTCTCCACAGAGATAACTTGATTACTTCTGAAGTTCCTCTGAAAAGATATTAAAAAGAAGAAATTTAATGTGAAGACACCATTTTTTTCAGAGCTGTGTTCACTGTTGCAGTGATACTTTGGCTGAAATCTTGTTTTGCTGCTTTTTTCCTGCAGGTAGAGTCGCCACGTGAAGTTACATTTGTAGGAAGCTGAAGGACTTTTTTGTCATCATCTGTAAGTAGCTACCCTCAAAGTAATGTTTAAGTGCATCGGTAAACTAGAACTGCTCTTTTTCATGCCTCTCTAGTATTTTTTCCTAGAAACTTTATACTGTAGCTTTTTTGTAAGTTTTCCATGCGAATTCTTAAAAATTGCCTGACCAAAAAGAGTATGAGGAGCTTGAATGGAAATTCAGTTACTGTCTACTTGTTTACACCATTGGTTTCGTACAGCAGTGATGTTTTTCAGTCTCCTCTGGGTTGTAAGTCTAAAAGGCAGTACTGTGTGTTTATTTTTCTGCTTTGCCTCTTGGGGGTCTCCTAGAGCAGAACTGTTACTGCTACTGCAGCAGTTCTAATGTGTAAACTGCAGTGTGAGGACAGTCCGTGAGAATATTTCACAAAGAAAACAGGGTAAGATCTTATCTGTTTCTATTTTACAGGGTAAAGGAAATAAAATGGTTGACAATGACAGGCCTGAGCCAGGAACAGAACATGGGTTTTGTGATCATCACATTGTCAGATTGCTCCTATTGAGAGGGAGGGTGGGTTAGTTGTGTGCACAGGGACTCACAGTCTCACTGGAGTCACCCAAACTCCAAAGCAATTTGGCCTGGAAAACCTCTAAATTCTTTGCTAGATTTTAGAGGTGTCGGCCCTTACATTGAGAAACTAGCCTTGAGAAGGTGGGAGGACAGTAAGTTATTTAAAGCCATAGATGTGTAGGTGATGGATCTTGCTGTGCAAAGGGGTGAGGTGGTACTTAGAGTCCAGGAACCGGTTGGCAGTTCGGGGAAGGGTGATGTCTGCAAACTGCGCAGGGGGCGGACACTGTAACAGGTTATAGGAGATTTTTGTGTGTGTATTTAATACTGTCATGTCTTGGCATATATGCCACACCTGTACACAGTTTTAAAACTCACTTCACTTACTAATACTTACAAAGTGCTTTTTGGATGCTTCACTTATCTACACATCACCTTGTTGACAGAGCAGGGTACTGAACTGTTACTATTTCCAGAATGTCAGTCTTCCTCTTGGCCTGCCCCTCCCAGAGTACACTTTCTGGTGGCAAACACCTTACTAAACTGCCAGGCACTAAGCTGAGATTACAACTAAGTAAAGATTTTTTAGTTTAGTGGTTTGTTTTTTTTTTTTTTTTTGGACCTTAAACAAATATAGTATGCTTGTGATTTTTTTTTTTTTTTCCCAGTCCTAAATTATTTATTTGGATTGTTTTATACTTGTAGCTTTTCTTGTCCTTCAGGCCTATACGTTTCACTCGGGATATCTGAGGTCTTAACAGCAGGTGGCCATGTGATTCTCTTGCTGAACTGTAGCAGATATTAATGCCTGAGGTCTTCACAAAACCTATTTAACACTCAGAGTGAAATGTTCCCCCTTTCTGTAATGCAGTGCTGATGTATGTATGACTTACTAATGCTTTGTGTACCGTTCCTGTGTTATGCAGAAGAGGTAGAAGTACCAAATGGCAGCTAATTTTCATTGCCTGTGTGCTGCGTTGCACAGATTTCTTGAAGGATGGTTGAAATAAGCCTCTGTTTGAATGTGCACTCCTCTGTGCAGCTCGCTTGTATTAGCAAACGTAGGTCAGTCACATTTCTAACGCTCTGTTCTGTTTGGTTTTTGTTTACACAGGTTCTGCCTGTCCATCTACACTCCTCTGACAAGATGGTATTTCGGAAACCACCAGATGGTGGCTGGGGCTGGGTGATTGTTGTCGTTTCCTTCTTTACTCAGTTCTTGTGTTACGGATCACCGCTGGCGGTGGGAGTCTTGTACTTAGAATGGCTGGATGCGTTTGGAGAAGGGAAAGGCAAGACTGCTTGGGTTGGATCACTAGCAAATGGAATCGGATTGCTTGCCAGTAAGTGTAGAAGCAGCATCTGTCTTGAAATGTTTCTTTCTAATAGATGCTTTCATCTGTGTGTGCTTTTGGAGTCAGACAGCTGCAAATGATAGAATGAGTATGCTGCATTTTTGGTTTAGGTCAAGATGGGAAAGAATGTTACGTTTATAGTTCTATTATACATAAATCAAAACAATATAATGGTAAAAGAGCAATAAAAATACTACTCTTAGAAAATTAAAAAAATATTGTATTTGAATAAACTAGAAAAACCAAACTCTGGGAAACTGAATGGTAATTTTGTTGATGGGATTTTTTTTTTTTTTTTAAATGAGGCTTTAAGACTAACATTTGCATTAGTATCTTTAAAATCAGAGCAGACTGTTAGTCTGAAATAGTTCAAGTGCTTTAAGGAAAAAAAAAAAAAAAGTCAATTAATAAGCCAGTTACTAGTCTTTCAGCCCTAGAAATAAACCCACCAGTTTGGGTGAGCGAGGGCTCTGTTTCACTGTTTGAGAAAAAAACTGCTTTTGAAGCCTGGAAAGTTATCTATAACAGTGGCATTAAATAAAACAGCTTTACTGGAAGATTTTCTGCAGTAAGACATTGTCACTTAGAGAGTAGCAGCAGGTTTTTAGGGAAATGCATAAACTTTGAAAATCCATAGGTCCTTTTTTTTTTTTTTTTGGTTTGTTTTTGTTTGTTTTGTTTTTGTTTTGTAATATCAAGCATGGGTATTATGCTGGGTAATATCGCTAACTTCTGCTTTTCAAAGATTCATCATGGGAACTATTATCTTTTTGCTGAATCTGGAAAAAATTGCCTGTCAGCAGAGCAGTTGCCATAGGCAAAAGCAATTATGTAGCTTAATGGACAAAATGCAGCCCAGAATTCTGAGGAAATCTCTCCTTAAAAGAAAGTTAATGTTCAAATAACAATAGAGACCTGAATAATGACCACTGCTTTGTATGATGCTGTAACTGGCCAAATATTGGTGTCACGCTCGTATTCGGTTTTTATATCACTAGGTAGAACAGAAATGGGCAAAGGCAGGTGGATTGTTAACCACAAGAAGACTATACTCAGTCCCAGGGTGTAAGTGGACAAAGGACTGTAGACTGCTCTTCCATCATACTTTTTATTTTCCTGTTTTAAAGGCATTAACTTCTATTATTAATGGATCAAGACCTAAATAAACTTGAGTGAGGGAATGAAGTGGGGAGAAAAGAAGGATAAACAAGATAGTTACTGAAGAAAAAACTAGGCAGAAGGAGATTGCAAGAGAGGGGGTGAAGAAAAGCCCTCTCCCTGGAGACCACAAGTCTCTGGCTCACTCCTCTGACCTGAGCCTCAGTCCTCTTTCTCGTATGTCAACACCACACCAGTTTCCAGATTTCTTAGTGCCCTCTGTCTTGCCACTGTGAGCAATTGTCAGTAATTTACTTTAGAGCAAATAAAAACTTACGTGACTGAATAATACAAATAAAAACTGCTATTGTAATTGATTTTGGTATAGAATGATTAAATTACTTGAAATTTTGACAGGTTAGGAGGAACGTTGTCTGTCAGCATACTTCTTTCAGTTTGGGATTCGGAAGCTTAATAATCATTCTTATTTATAATGCCTTCAAAGAAAAGTACAGTTAGGGGCTTTTAATTGCATTGATGTTATCAGAATTGGCTGAAAACGAAATATATGTTCCCTGATTTACGTGAAATGGAAGATCCCACTGGCTTATCGAGCTGGAATCTGACCTTAATGATAACTCTACTTAAACTAAACTTGTTGAAAGGGCAGTGTAAGTATCATAACCTCTACATAGAACTAGAACGCTCTGGACAAGTTATGATTTTTCATGCAGTTCTCATAGCAGACCTTTTTCAGACCTGGTCACTAATGTAAAGAGCATATGTGTTTTCAGTGCAAAACCATTTATATAACACATTGCAAAGCTAGGGCCTTTTCATGAGTATAGGAAAAGAGAACTTGCTTCTGTTCTTATTTCTGTTATTGCAGGTTCCACTATTCCATGCCAGGTGAGACTGCTGTGTGTTGTAGCCTATGTTAAGTAGATGATCAGGCTAATTGAATTTTGCTAAATTAACATATTTTCACGTATGTGAAAAGATATTATCTGTAACTTAATAACTTAACAATCTCCCCAAGCAAGCTGATTTCAGCAGCAATATTGCGTTTGTGAATCCTAGTAACAGGACAGCTTTACCCAAAGCCTTTCAGTAATGCCCTTGCCTTTTACTGTTAACTTGACTCTTCTAGTATTTGTTGTTCTTTCCTTTCTCCTCCTTTATTTTGGTTTTCAGTCCCTGATCTGCTTATCCAAAGACATATTTTCAAGTATTGTTAATCTCAAAGCAATCCATGTTACATGCAGAAAATACAGTAATTCTCATTTGATTTAGAACATGTTTGTTTAGTACATCCTCTGTCTCTCATAACTTTTCTCAGTGGTTAATTCCCTCCTTAAAAGTATGCAATCTTATGATACAGGCTGCTTAGTTTTAGTTTTCAACTCATTAGTAATGTTATCTTTAAGTGGTTTATTTTGAAGTGCCCCTGAATTAGTGTGGTGTATGTCTAGAGACCACTTCTAAATTTTCTTTTAAGCCTGTACTTTGATACAGTCTTTTTGCCTTTGATATAAGACACTTCTGCTCTTTTAATTAAGGTTCTTCTGGAGTGTAAATAAGACTCTTCTGTGAACCCTCTCCAACTTAACATTGCTTTTCTGAATCTGTAGATGCCAGACTGGAAAAAGAATGGCAGTTACAGTAGGCTTGCAGCTACATACAGGAAATAAGTTAGTGTCCATTTTCTTAAGGAAGACTTTTCTCATTGATAGCACTTGAAGTCACATTAGCTAGCTTTTGTAACAGTGGAAGGCAGTTGCAGTGACTTTGCTATATTAGTACTGTAATTTCACCAAAAAGAAGAAAATGTCCTTATATGTATGCCAGCTGGCACGGGAAAAGGTTCTGTGTGTCTTCTCCCCTTCCCTCTGTACATGTAGTCTTAAACGTTTTCTGAAGTAGCTGGTGCTGGTGCGTCCTTTCACATTTGCTGTGCTGGTGTCCTTTCTGCAGTGTTTACGTCTGACTTGTGTGAGAGCTAAACTTAGACTCAAGACATAGAAACCCAGTACAGCACCTTGTTTATTGAGATGAATTTCCTAGCCACCTGGTGTTCGATTTCTGCCCTCTTGCTCAGAGCACAGACGGTGTTGCTGAGGCCAGTGTTCAGCCCTGAGCTGGACTGTTCAGCTCATCAGCTGGGGAAGAATATGGGACCAGGGACCCAGCAGATCTTTCCCTTGCAGGATGACTGGAGTTATAACTTCCTGTGATGTGACCTTACAGTGTGCTGGAAGAAATGTGCCTAAAACACTGAAAGAAAAGCAACAGTACAGGTCACTGGTGAGACCTCCTCTCCAGTATTAGGTGTCATAGTGCTGATCAGGCTAGAGTAGATGTGACACATGGCTCCAGGGATGGTGTAGGGCTTGTTGCATAGGAAGAAATTGAAAGAGCTTAGCATGTTTCCCGTATGAAAGAGGCCAGAGGAGGATATTATGTTGTTGAAAATTGTGTGTTTCTCCTGTACCAAGTGTTTTTAATTTTACATCCATATGGAGCCTGAAATAAAATCTGATCCTTGTTACACTTGTTAAAAGTAAATCAGACAAAGACCTTGGCACCTGTAATTTGCACCACAGCTGTTTATAGTAAGAGTTGACTTCACAGTATTTAGCACTGCAGCAGACACCAGCAATATGTCTTTTGTTACCACTCCCCTTTATTAATGGAAAAAGAACAAAGGGAAAGTTCTTCCTTGAAAAGCATGTCTTGATAAATTAATAGGTTTTTTTCTGCTGGTCTAAGGCATTCAGTATTAAATTTTTAAAAAGCTCAATTTTGTGTTTTCAACCAATAATTTTACAACTCTAAAAAAGTCTTTGCCACATCTACGTGGTTTTGGACAAAAAGCTCACACATAGATAGCCCCAACTCTAAACTATGGAAGCTATACATAATTTGTGGGGAGGGGAGAGGGTGTCCCAAAGATTCCTCCGAAGAGGAGCCCAGTTTATTTAATAATTTTATCAGAAAGGAGCAGTCTTTTCAATCAGTTGGAAGTGGGTTGCTCTCCAGTGTAAAAAGGCTTTTTCTGATTTATATTCTTTGGAGACTATTATATTTATTATGACCAGGTTTTAGCAATGCATTTAATACACAAAAAGTGTTCTTGCCTTCTGTCCGGTGGATTTTACGTACAGTCCACAAGCGTTGCTTCTACTCTACAGTTTCAACAGGCTCGGACAGATACCTACAAGTAGGGTGGGTCAGATGGATGCAGGCGATAAGAAAAATAAGTCAGTTGTTCAGTATTGTTTGTTTAGCACAAGGTTTTGTGTATGTATGAGGTGAAGGATAGAGGACCCTCAAGACGAATGAGTGGAGGAAGAGAGTGTCAGTTTGCAGAATTTTTCTCTTCTTGTGAAAAGATTGAGGAAGAGTGTGTTAGTACTTGATGTCCATGAAATAAAACGACTTTGTACTTGTCAGGAGGTCGGAAGATCGTGGTAGTTATAAAGTTTCTCTGTGAGCAGCAGATGGCTTGTTTTCACATCTCAGGAAGGACTCACTGTCACATCTGGGTCTCACTGAGGGTAAAGCCTTTTCTTCTAAAAACGTCCTAATTAAAATATCAGTGTACAAATGATTCCTCGTGGAAGTTCTTCTTTGGTTTCTCTGCATGAAGATCTACTGTGAGAGCCCATTTTCTTTCTGCTGCTGCTTCCCATTTTGTCTAGGCATCTTCCTGACTGCACCCCTGCAGAGCCTGATAATTGTATTAGTGGCTGCTGAGCCCTGACAGGCTGTGTGCAGAAAAGCAGTGGCTGTCTAAGTGTCTTCTAAGTCTTTCTTCCTAGAGTTAGCTGTCATTCTTAAAAACTGAGCTGGTATCTTTTTTGGATAGAGTTTGGTCTAGTTTTAAGGTACATCTTAGAAGGAAAAAAGCCCTAGGGATTTTATTTGTAAAGGTGGTAAATAATTATAAGTCTTCAAATATTATTCTAATACCAGTGTTGACTCCTGGAGTTCCTTGGCAAACTGAACAAAACGCTGGCTGAAAAACCATTCTCCATGCTTACTGTTGAGGATTGCCACTGGGATTTTATTTTTATGTTGTTCACGTTATGGTGATAAATACATTATCAGTAGAAGGATCTTTTTGAAAGAGAGTCAGCTAACGAAAACCCTTCTGCTGCCTGAAGAGCTGTTTCATATGTGGCTGTACGTAGACTCCTACATTCTTCATAATGTCCACTTTGAACAAAATCCACAGGGCAGGAGTTCACAGAGCAAGCCTCAGTCCCACTCTGGGAAACTTGGATGTTTGACTAGAAGTAACTGCCTTGAACCCATTGTGCTTGAATTACTTGTAGAGAATAACATGTTTGTGTACAGTGAACTCCTGTGCAAATACCATGGTAATAACCAAAGGTACTGTGCGTGGTGGGAAAAAAAAATGCCAGCTCTTTGGGAAACAGAAAGGGAAGGAATGCAAAGAGGCAGGAAAAAGAACAAAGATGCTGGCTGTCATGGGGGTTTTCTTTTGTGACTTTTATTTTCCAGCAGTATGATTTAGGGGAGTGTGAAAGTAGGGCCTAGAGTGAAGGGGAAGATGGAGCTGTTTTTCTTCTCGTCCTGGAGACCTATAATAACTATTTTAATACTTATACTGGCGCTCCTTCTTATAAACAAGGCCATTGCTGAGCTGCCAGATCTCTTGCTGTGTGAGATGACACATTAATACTGAGCTTATTGGAGCAGGTTTTTCAGTTTTGTGCAGGTTGTTTTCCATGTCAGAGCAAAAAAAGATCTTTGTACTTTCTGTTCTCCTTTGGGATTATTTTTTGTAAGTGGGAGAAGCTGGAAAAGCATCTCCTTGGACCCTGTCAGAGCTGCTTTTGATGGTGTTCCAGAGGAGAGTGTCCCTGTCAGATTAAGAAGACATGTTTTTCAGCTCTCTGTCTCCCTTGTTCTGGCTTGGGATCAGAGTGTCCAGCTTTACCTCGGATCCTCTAGTAGCGATCAGTGCAGCCTGTACCAGTGCCACCACCCCAGGCTGGATGGAGACCTTCTGAAAGTAGCTGTGTCAAAATATAAAGAGCAGGTGGAAGGGAAATGCTGTTTGTTTTTTCAAAGTAGTGGGTCAGAAATAAAGAATGGAAAGAGTGCAAATTCCTCTGCTTAATTGAATTATGTTATCACTACCTAATGTTCTTTTAGTGTAGAAGAATTTTTTATGTAATACAGATTCAATCCTTTGTTTATTCTTAAATCCTGTGGTTTTAGGAAACATACCAATCTTAATTTGCCAGTTCTAGTAATTAATTCTAAGAATCAGCAACAATCTAACACTCCCAGCTTTTGTTCTCGGCAAGTTACTCTGCCCAAGTTATTCTGGCCAGCTTTCATTCCCATAGAGTGCTGATTCTTGAGAAGCAGCAAGCACTCACATCTTCCTTTTCATTGTTTGCAAAATCCAGATAAACCCTACTTCCCCAGAAGATTTTCCTTGATTCTTCTTTAACTCTGACTCTTTTCCTGGATAAGCCCCAACAGATTCACTTCCCTTTACGTTCCCTAGGCAGATGGCTCTTACGTAGGGCAAAAGTTCTGACCTGCCTTGCCTTTGAGGATCATTTCACCTGCTAACGAATCTGTGCTCCTGCCTGCCAGAACAGCTTGTCCTGTGGCCGGTAACCACAGGAAAACCTTGCCTACATTCCCAGCTGCTAGCTCCAGTCTGCAAACCTAGGCAAGCACCATCCTCAGCTCCAACTGTTGTTCACCTCATGTCACCTCTTTGGACTCACCTCGCGTCTGCTGGGAATCTCAGTTATGTGTGAGTCAGGGAGGACCAGCCTTAACAAATGGCCGACTCCGAAGTCACGGCTCTTGCAGATCGTGTCGACCACGGAGGGTCTTTGTATCGCTGAGAACGAGATACAAAGGTGGTGAGGGTTTGGGTTTTTCTGTTGCTGTTTTTTAAATGATGTCATTCATCTGTGTATCTAACCTCTCATCGCAGAGTTGCTGAGTTTAGGATCTTGGGGCTAATATATAAGTCTCTGTATGAATATTTGGAACTACAGGGTTTCAGATGAGAGATTGTCTTTTGCAAGCCAGGTCTCTTTGCTGGTTGCTTACTTATGCAGGGCCCCAAGCTTGCATGCTACTTCAGGCTACAACGTGTATTCCAGGTCACACACAACTGAAAATAAGCGCTTGTTCTACAACTTCTGTGAGGGGAGAACTGGCTGAGTAGAGGCAGAGTACGAATGTTGCCTGCACTTTGTTCTTGTTTTGAAGAACTAACCAACCAAGAAATATTGGGGGGGTAAAGAGAGGGAGAAACCTCTTCCGACCTTCGTGAACATTGCTCTGGACATTCTCAGTAAATGCCTTTTATTTTCCATAGTTCTACAGTAGAAACCAAGACAGGTATTAAACAGTTATTTGATAAAATACTGACTAGTAGATATTTAATTCCCTAGAAAATCAGGAAAGAGTAGTGTTTGTCTTTATCTGGTATATCAGCAGATATTTCCTCTATGTAAGCACCAGGTGGCATTCTTACCATGATTATGATCAGAAGTTACTGTTTTCCATTTCCGTTTTATAAATCTCATCTTATATCAAGATGAATACAGATACTGTCTTTCTGAAACACAGTTTTTGGGCTCTGACAAAAAATACCTGCTTGGTTAAAGCCTGACTGATGGTCTAACTTGTTTTTCTACCTAAAGATGAAGAACCTCTTTTCAGAACCTTTGTACAAGTCCTTAGGTGTGTAGTGACAGTGTTATAGTCTAGTATGAACGTATCATCCTATTTTAAATAATGTTTTGCTTATTCTCTCCCTCTCAGCCCCAGTACCATTTGCCGGTCTTAATGTCAGCTTCTCCTTGAGCAAAAGATTTGCAAGCCTGATCTTGTATGTTTTTATAACTGATGCTTTTAAAGAATCATGTAAAAATGAGTACTCTGAATTGTTATTTAGTATAGTTATATATTTAAGTAATAAACATTTCCACAGGCTGATATTTTTTAGAAGTTCTTCCTGGTGCTGGTATTTACTAGGAATGTTTTTCCTGTTTTTCCTGTAGGTCCTGTCTGCAGTATATGTGTATCATCTTTTGGAGCAAGACCAGTAGCAATCTTCAGTGGCTTTATGGTGGCCGGGGGCCTCATGATGAGCAGTTTTGCACCTAACATATACTTTCTATATATTTCGTATGGGATTGTTGTTGGTAAGAAACACCTTCATATAGAGACTTAATCTTTATTATTTTGAGTCTTGGTTTACGAATCTGAGATGGGAAACTGATTCACAGAGGCAGTGGTAGTCTGTGACTTGATTTATCAAGGAATACTTTATTCTGGAGAAGGGTGTTGCACAGGCAGGCTGTTACTGTGTAGTAAAGTTAATGCATATATGTTCATCAGGGTTTGAAAACAGTTTGATCTCTGTTGACATGATTGTTAGAGATGAAGAAGCTGAGGTTTTACCTAAGGGGTGAAATCAAGCACGTCTTCTGCAGGCGTGAAGTGCCAACCTTAAGGGAATAATATCACTTCTGGAATTATGTCATGTACTCATTCTAATTTGTTAAATTAGAGATCATTAGGGAGCGATGTTGTTCTCCCCGTAACTGGATTGAACCTAAACCGCTGTGCTACAGGCATGAAAGTGCTGTTCTCCTAGCAGGTGGCGACCTGCCCCTCTGTGCTGCAGAGGGCTGCTGTGGGTGGTTTATCAAATTAACCGTGTCAGGGGTCCGGGCACCTCGCTGGCCATCCGGGACCCAGCAGTGTGCTGGCTCGGTCACAGTGCCCCGCAGGTGCGGCTCTGATGGTTTCTGGGGTTCTGGACTGAAAGCCATGTAGCCCTTCCACATCGCACGGAGCCTGAGCTGGCAAACTCCCCCAGCCCAGCCTGCTCCACGCAGGTTCTGCAGCCCGGGGATGGTCGGGGGAGAGGCGGGTGGGACAGTGCAGGCAGCCTGATGGCCCTGACGGCCTGAAGCCGGTGTGGCTGGTGCTGAGCCAGGGTTAAGAGGTACCTCTGTGCCCAGGGTGCACTACTGCATTATCTGGGGGATAAAAGGGGGCGTTAATTTCCCAGAGTATGCTGCATGCTTTACGTCTACCTCTTTTTCTCAAGGGCTTGGATGTGGGCTTTTGTATACTGCCACAGTTACCATCACTTGCCACTATTTTGACAAACGCAGAGGCCTTGCACTTGGTCTGATTTCAACAGGTATGACTTGTAATTGTCATTCTCCCTAGCTTTTCAACTTTGATACAGCTACCATTATCCTGGCAATAAACCCCAGGTGATTATATTTTTCTAAGTTATTTCCTGAAGTACTGAAGTCAAAACATCGATAGCAATGAACAGATAAAATCAGGCTTCGGATAAACTAGTAACTACACTTGCAGGTGTATGGTATGGGTTATCCATATAGATGAGAAAAGGATATTTACTAAAATGAAAGTGGTCTCATGAGTAGTTTGGTCTGTATGCCATGGGTAATAAGAGGGGAAACTTTCCACAGAGCTCTCTGCTCCCTCTTCTTTCTTACACAAGATCAGAGGTGAGAAAGAGATTGGAGGTGCAGGGTATGAATGCTGGATCACCATAACCTCATGTTAGCTGTACCTTTAAAAGAGTAGTTGAAGTTTGGGCTTATGTATTTAATACTTTTTTCCTTTCCAATCTAAAAGGAGACTAAATCCTTAAATCTTCCAAGGGCTCATCCCAGCTTTTTTCCCATGTGTGTTAAAGGGATCCTAGAAAAATGAACCTCTGATAATACAAGGAAAATTATTTGAAGGGTGCTGAGCAGTCTTTGTCTTCCTCTCTGTGGGTCTTCAGGTTGTGTGATGTTGTCCTTTACATCAAGAGGAACTGCTAAATTAATGCACCAAGTAGAAACTGTTAAAGAAGGCTGTTGTACCATGCCTTGCTTTCTGCGTTGTATGGAGTCTCTCATCTGATCTGTTTTCTCAAGTGGCTCTTAGTGAGGAGAGGCCTGGTCAGTGCAGTCAGTATTGTGGGGTATTAATGCCAGATCCATGACAGTGGAATAAAGAGGAAATTCTGCAGAAATGTTCCTTGGAATCATTTTCAGTAGCTTTTGTTAAGGATTCCAGGTAGTTTGCCTTAAGGCCTGATCTTACTGAGCCCTGGTTAATTTTAGTACCTGGAAGACAAAACAAGTCTGAATTTTATAATTATTTTTTCCTGTGCTTAGCACTGAATTATATAAATGGCTTTGATAGAACCTAGGGACAGTCTTTAGCAAATCATTTTACTTTGAAGTTTGTCGTTAAATTGACTTAAAAAACAGTGCTATGTATTGTGAGTGGACATCCATTGATCACAATGAATCTGTGCTCACTTCAACCAAGACCTTTTTCTTTAAATTGGTGGGATTGCATAAAACGTTTGTGTTCATAGTAATTGCTTACTCTTCAGTGTTTTGTTCTGAATAGCCAAATTTCTCAAATGCATGTTTGGCCCTGCAGAGCTTCAGAAATGCCTTTGGAGTAAATTCATACCATGTGAACCCCCTTCCTTAAACAACAAGCAGTCAAGGGCTGTTTCTAGAAGGGCTCTCGGTGAACCCCTGGTCTGTTCCTGCCTTAGAGGAGGAAGGTGGCAGCGAGGAGGAGAAAAGGAAAAATGTTTGTGTGTGAAATTTGAATGGTGCTAGTTCAAAATGGTACCTGAAGGGATACATGTATGTGAGCACACGGCAGAAGAATGGCTTAATAGTTCTTTGATATTTTTCATTAGGTATAGTATTGATCCTACTTGTTTCTAAAGTGTCTGCTAGCGTTAATAGTTATATATTGTTCAGATATTTTGAAAGGCTTTTCATTTTGTGGATACTTAGTAAAGAAACTGTGACTTCAAGAGAGATGATAATTTACGAGTTCATTAGACTGGGGAGAGAGGAGCACACATGACTTGACATTCCTATGACAATATATTAGCAGTTGCTGAAATGTAGAAATCTGTTGGTGTTGAAGAATGTTCTCAGTTCTTCAGTTTAAACTGATCTTATTTTCCTTTTATAGGCTCAAGTGTTGGACTCTTTATATATGCAGCATTGCAAAGAGAGCTTATTGATCTATATGGACTGGATGGTTGTCTGCTAATAGTTGGTGCACTGTCTCTAAATATACTAGCATGTGGCAGCCTAATGAGACCACTGGAGTCGTCTGATTCCCCTCCACCAGAAAAGATGTGTGTAGACAAAGTCCCAGATCAATATTTTGTTTACCATGAAAAAGAAAAGACTGTTGAAGAAAATATAAGCATCCTTGAAAAGGGCTATGTTGAAGAAAAATGTGCAAACAGTATGCCTGACTACAAACAGGATAGCATTTTAAATAAGAATGTATTAAGCTCAATAAATGTAAATGAGAAAGACACTTATAAAAAGAAAGTTGTAGAACAGACAAACTTCTGCAAGCAACTCGCCAAAAGGAAGTGGCAGCTCTATTTGAACTACTGGGAGGAAACCATGGTTCTTTTTAAGAACAAAGTATTTTCAGCTCTCTTTGTTGCCATTTTGCTCTTTGATATTGGTGGATTTCCTCCTTCGCTGCTCATGGAAGATGTAGCAAGAAGTGCAAACATCAATGAAGATGACTATTATATGCCCCTTATTTCCATTATAGGCATTATGACTGCTGTTGGCAAACTTACTTTAGGAATATTGGCAGATTTTAAGTGGGTTAACACTTTATATCTGTATGTAACAACCTTACTAATGACAGGAGTGGCCTTGTTTGCAATTCCATTTGCCAGAAGTTACCTTACATTAGCGATGCTTTCTGGGATTTTGGGTTTTCTAACTGGGAACTGGTCGATTTTTCCATATGTAACAACAAAGACTGTGGGAATTGAGAAACTGACTCACGCATACGGGATACTGATGTTCTTTGCTGGACTTGGAAATAGCCTTGGACCACCAATTGTAGGTAAGGTCAAGGTACATACTATAAAATGAACATGAGTTTGTCAGGACCAGACAGAATTAATTTGTGTGCAAATAGTTCTAGTTGGTCCTAAAACAATGGAAAGATAAAATCTTCGATAAAAATCAAAGCCTGATTTGCTTAAGCTGGCCAAGCTGATGGTGTTCTGGTTTTGGCTTTGATGAAAAGCACATTTCATGTCTAAGTGGTCAAACTGCATTTTTAGAATTTAGATTTGACCTTTTTTTGGGTTGGATTTTTGTTTGGTTGTTTTTTTTTCCTGATGTTATTCTAACATACAATACTGTGTTACATTTAACTCCTCCCTGATGTGCTTCTCTCTTATTTTCACCCCCAGGTTGGTTTTATGACTGGACGCAGGAGTATGACACTGCATTCTATTTCAGTGGCTTTTGTGTCTTACTGGGTGGATTTCTTCTGCTGTTGGCAGCGTTACCCTGCTGGAATGCCTGTACCAATCAGAGCTCAAAGCTGCCTCCAAATACTTACTCCTACAAAGTTGCATCTAGCGCTTAGGTGACAACTGGAAAACACTTTGTGCTTTTTTATATTATATAGCAAAGTATTTTAGTAATTTTCCACTTATTTATGAAGCCCCAAAATCCTTTTCCACTAGAAAAATTCCATCATTACTTGTTGTTCAGTTCCTTTTTCTTCTTTTATTTCTGTTTTAAGTATAGTCTTATTTTGTCTACTATGCACTGTGTTTTCAGCTTTTGTCTACTGTAATTTCCTTTCACCCTGTAAGGGGTATATTCTGCTGTATTATCAGCTGTATTTTTCTTTTTTTTTTTTTTTTTACGGGGGTTGGTGCAGAGGGGTGAAAACATTGAAGCAAAAATGAAGGCCTGTTCCTTGTAGGAGAAGGCTGGCATTTCTGTCACCTTTTATAGGTCTCCAAGCTGCACAATCAGACTTTAAAAAACAAAAATTTGCCTTATTAAAATGTAATACTGTGGCAAGGTGCTTATAACATCATGCTTAGATTAACTTTTTGTCTTTTTAAAGTTTTTCCAATTTACAATGAAGTGCCAACTGGGGGAGGGAGAAGAGGGGGAAAAACCCAACCTGATGTTGCATAACTGAAGTGAACTTCATGATGAAAGTAAAGATTCTTACTACCACTGCAACTAAGAATTATGTTTATAAATATTGCACATTTTGTGAAGTCTGTTTATAAAACTGTTGAACCAAAACCTTTTAAACCAAGGAATAAATACGATTGTTGAAACCATGAAAAGAAATGCTGACTTGGTTATGCAAGTTCATAATCTTCGGATTGATGTTGGAGATGTGCTCACAGAAGCCCGCAGGTGAGTGTTTCTGAGCAGGTCCCCTGCAGTCTGGCAGTACAGGGGCATCTCTTGTTGCACAGCTACAGTTTAGTAGGTTGAACTTGCTGTGGAGAGCTTAGTAGCAGAGCTTTCGACAAGATAGACCCAGTGAAAAAGGAAAAATGTGACAGCAACATCATCTTTGCTTTGTCATTTTTGGAATGGACATAGCAAGGAGAAATGTTAGTAACAGGGGGCAAGAAAAAGCGTGGGGGAGGGATAACAGAAGAGTTATGGGGGAAAATGAGGTGGAAAGAGTTGCAACACTAGAACACCAAACAGGCCAGTGAAGAGAGAGCCCCTGAAATGCACTGCCTGGATGCTCTCTAGCTGCAGGATAGCTCTGTGTGTGTGTGTGTTGCCTTCTTGCTTGTTGAAGCCAAGGCCCAAGGCTGGCGTGGCTGGGGGGAACGCTGTGTGAGGTTGGAGTCTTTCCTGAGCCAGGAGGGTGCTACAGCGAAGGCAGGATGACTCGGCTAGCTCGGCGCTGCCCTGCGTGCCCTCTGCAGTAGCTTTTGCCTCCATAGCTGCTCCCACACCAACGGTGTGTCTGGTTGCTCTTGCATAGCAGTCACAGAATTCTCCTATCCACCCTTGCGCTTTGGCTTCTGGCTGCTGTAGGTTTAAGGTCTAGTGGAGCACGGTGGGAAGCCTCGGGTGAGGTGGGAGTTCTTAGTCCTGAGTTACATCCTGTATGGTTGCCTGCAAATATCCAAGTAGTTCTTAGCAGTAATATGTGCCTCAAACATCTGCTGTGATTCTGGCTCATAAATAATCCTTAAGATAAAGAATTAAGCATGTAATGAGCAACCTTTATTGTCAAAGTGCTGTGCACAGTTACAGTGTTTGCACACCTCATTAAGCAAGAGCGATGTAACCTCTGAGTGGGGCAGACAGCTGTGCAAGTAATGTTCCTCTTCTGGTCCAAGGTAGGAAAATCCAGCTTGGCTTCAGACAGTTTTTTGCTGACCTGGGATTCACTTACGTTTGTTTGTATTAAAACCTGACACAAATAAAGATGCAGTTAGTTTGTCTCTTTGTTTTTTTCCTCCATTTGTCAGCTGGGTGTAACTACTTTGTGGGTTTTTTCCTGGATTGCTTATTCAATGAATGAAGAAAAAAGTATCGAGTGTTCAATATAGGCATAAATGCAGCTGCAGTTCCAAATTGGAGCCCTGGGTATCTGGTGTGGATTTGCACCTGTTCTATGTACTGTATGGCAGCTGTAGTTAGATTTCACCACGTAGATATAAAAGTAGTGCCATGTTTTACACATCTTGAAGAAACTGCAGTGATATACTAGATATAATCAGGGTATGTGTGCCTTCTGGTTAATACCTTTTAAAGTCTCTCACTTCCTGCCAACAATACATTCTGAGTGCTTTAAATATGAAACATACTAAATTAGTTGTCTGTTTGAAAAAATTCAGCTGGAATTAATGATTGGTCAATATGTACACACTTTTGTAATGGAAATGGAGTCTATTATTAGGCAGCTTGATATGTTTGGAAATATGACTAGTGACCCGCGATAGTTTTTTGATGTAACCCTACCCATCAGTGAGGAAAGAGCCCTGACTGTTGAAGAATTTTACACTGCCACTGCAGGCAATATATGTTAGGACTCCTCGTCCTAGCCAGTTAGTTGAACACTGTGACCGTACTAATTTTGGCTTCAATTGATAAACAAGACCTAAGATTTAATGTTTCATTTTTTGCTTTTCACTTTTCCAGTTTTGCAGGTTTCCTTTCCAACAAGAGATTTCTAGAGATGCTGCAACTTGAGTATTTTCTGAAAGCCTTTCCTTCTCCTGTCTGGCATGCTTCATTCAAATCAGTCCAAAGGTTCAAATGTTTTTTTGGAAGGAGGCAGGAGAGGTACAACATGATGATCTGTGCCTCATTTGCTTGAAAAGTAGGTCATCAGCGTTGACAGGGTGGTAGAGGTAGGTAGGTACACAGTTCTGCCATGTAGAATTAAATTCTGAATCCTCTTGGGTTTTATAGTCCCTGACAAACAGATCTGAAACAGAAGGAATGACATGCTTAAATAATTACTTTTTATTGTAGAAGAAAAAGTTACTGTTTATTGCATAAATTAATTGGTTACTGTGGAGTCAGTCATTAATTTATCTTCTTATTTTCAGATCTTAAGAAAATTTATTGTAGTTACCAAAACGCAAGACAAATGAAACTGCTAAGTTTTATTAGCTTTAAAGTCTATTCTGTGCCTTCCTCAATTGATGATCTTTACAGTTAGATACAAAAAAGAATTACATTCCTTTGGTAGCTGTTAATTTGTTTACATTATGCTGATACTAGATTCTTGCGTCACATACTGACATTGAACAGTGTGCTGAGTAAGGGCTACAGATCATACGCTATAAAAATTGATTGAGATGTTTGCATAGCATTAAACTGACACTGAGGTATTGTTTTATTGAAAAGATATTTCACTTAAGGCCTTTCAGGAGGGCCTTTCACATATATATGGTGAATATGTTGGGCTAAAAGTAATACTGGTCAGATTAAAAATGGCAAATTGATAAATGATACAGAAATCGGACAGGTATGTCAAAGGAAGTGGTAAAAGCTGCTTTATCCTATGAAATAGAATTCCTCAGATTCAGAGGACTCGTTTCAGTGATGTTTTGCTGTAGAATCAACTATGCTGAAGAGCCAAGTTAAAGACTTGTCAGTCTCCTTACAAGAAATAGTCTTTAGAGACATGTCGGTGTGCTCTCTGTTTACCAAAATCCATTTTGCTTTTTACACTTTTTTTTCAAAAGGATACTTGTGCTTTTAAATAAAGACTTTCAAACAATTGAAACAGCTCTCAGAAGCTGATACACACATGCTCATTTTGTACCATGCTATATGGTGTGATGATTTTGTTGCAGGAACTAAATCATAGAATCAGAGAGTGATTTGAGTTGGGAGGGATTTAGTTTAGCCCTGCTGCCACGACATAGTGATTTCAAGTTTCTCTGAGTAGCTGGTCTGTTTCTGGTTTGTCACCGCCTGCATGGCTCTGTGGGGGAAGACCTGACTCCTTTCTTATGTCCTCATTGTAAGGTCTCATGTTTTCTGCAATAGCTTCTTACGTTATTTTTCTTTAGTGTATCTATAGTTTTGTGCAACAAGACTGTTGGTCAGCTTTAGCTATTTTTTTTTTCTGATGTGTAGAGTATTTACTTGCTTGGGTTTTTCTCATTAGTATTAAATAATCACATCAGTCCAGATTTACTTGGTTAGCCCTAAAATCATTTCATGTTGCCAGAAACTAAAAGCCAAGGTGTCTGAAATGAGCAACTTGCTGAAATTCTTGGCCAGAGCTATAGAAAGAGAATAAAATATGATGGTGTGAATGCAGACCTCTCCACTTCTGTGCCTGCAGGTGCTCGAGTTCATTTAATGAGGAATGAGAGTCTTGTGCACGTGTGATAAGGAGGAGTGAAGACAGGACAAATCTTCTGGCTCTGAGGTCTCACCGCTGTGCTTTCTTCTCTTTGGATCTCCTGCATCAGGTGCAATTTTTGTGCTGTGCGCATGGCAGTTTTGTGAGCCAGAGTAAGGTGAGGGGTAGGAGAATCACATGCCTGGAACATGAGATTTAACACTGGGGTGTCTCCAGTCCCCTCGCTTAGCGTGCAACAAGCAGAATCGTGCAATGTTCAGTCATCAAATACATACCTTGGGAGTCTTCACAGGAGCATCCCTGCACCTGTTCCTTGCTGAGCCCCAGTGCTGCTGCAGAGTGATTAAGTACAGGGAGTTTTCCAGGCCATAGTTTAAAGTTGTGTTTTCTGCCAGTGGAAGTGCTTGCTTAAAGCATCGACAGTGCATCATTGTGGGTGCTGTGTTGTAAGCCCACTTGGGGAACCCCTGGAAATGCCTTTTTTTTTTTTTTGTGTCACTGAGATCAACTTGTCATTTTTACAGTGTGGGCTCCCATGTAACTGCTAGTGCAACACACCGTAGTGCGCCGCAGCAGGCAGGTGGGAAGGAGCCTGGAGCAATTCCTTTGTAAGCTGCCCATGTGGTCGTGCCCCTGCGCCGTGAGACTGCAGCAAGTGTTCTTCCCAGCTGCCTTTGGCTCCAAGCTTAATCATACTTGGTCATAGTTAAACTTGCAAAAACATTTTCTTTTAGTTCAAATTAATGTTTCCCCTCCCCCCCCCCCCCCCCCCCCCCTTTCTCTCATTGCAGGCTGACAATCATCTGACTAAACTCTTACCTCCTTTCCTGGTGTCACATCTCTCATGTTGAAAAGTAAACATGTTTTCAGTGATTAACAGTGATGACTAGGAGATGTTGCTGAGTAACAAGATTAATACCTACCCCCACCTTCCCTCCCCCACCATTTTGTACATGGCCAATGCTCTGACCATCTCTATATTTACAGATCATATCTAAATTTTGTGCTGCTTTTGTGGTTATAACTTTAAAATTTTATATATGACATGCATATCAAGTTGTATTAGGTCACGCTTTCTTCTGTTGGAATCAAATTGCCTTGCTGTTTAGCTAAAATGTCACTGGGTTAGAGTGGCAGTCTCCCTGCTTTGCGTTACTTAGGGGACCATCTTTGCGAATCAGGATAACTGCAATCATCTGGTGTGTCTTGAATGACAATAAATACTGTGTATGAGGCTATGCAAGGGTTCATAAAAATGCTTCAATTAATTAATATTTGCTTCAAAAAAAACAGGGCTATGTGGAGGTGTTCTCAGGGAGTAAGGGGCAAAAAATTACATTTATAAGACTGGGCTTGACAATCTGGTATCTCCCCAGGTATCAATTATAGGTAATGATTAAGTAGTGACTGTTTTGAGTGTGTGGATGACCGTTTTGGCTACCAAAAAGATTCCTGGGAGAAAGAGAGATGGGGAAGAGAGAATTCCCACTGA